TATTACTTACAATCCTCTGAGACGAAGCCATATTTTTTCTATTTGTTCCGGTTGTAGGTATTTCAAAGAGTTGCTTTCAAATTCTTCAATTTCCTTTGTCGGAGACTCCATAGCTCTATGTGTTCACTTTGGTTAAAGCTTAGAGAGAATAGATGTTTCCCTCAAAACATGTGCATGCTCTTCCCTCCCAAAAAAGCATGATAGTACTGACCAGAAGCTGCAAGCATTTCTTGCCTCCTCCAAATGCTTCCCGCCCACCCCCTTGTCCCACACTTTGATTAGACTGAGCGTGTGGAGCCCGCAAGCTTTCCAGGTGTGCCCGGAGGGTAGCTGTGGTCGCATGCCATGCTCCTCCGAGTGGTGGAAAGGAGTAGAGGCTCATCTCTAGATTGAATGCAACCACAGATTTTATATATACACATATATAAAATACAGATATTCTTCATACATACATGTACAGTATATATACATATACATATACATACATATACATATACATCTTTTACACAATGAGCCAAGGATACAGTCTGTAATACCAGCTGAAGGACCTTTATGACAGGAGTGAGAGGGAGGGGTGGGGCCGAAAAACCTTTGCTGGCAATTAAGCTGTCTGAATGGGAGGCCTGGAAGTACTGGCAGATGTACAGCGAGCTCCCAGTTTATCTGCCTTGCTATTTGCTGGACTCCGCCGCCGTCCTCGCGGTGCTGCTCTGAAAAGCAGCCCTCATTCCTTCCAATGCCGAGTCCCTCTCCCTCACTCTCTTGTTGCTACACACACCCACCATGGCCCTCCCCGTCTCCGGTTCTTCCACTTACCAAACGCTTTCCCCGCTGTCAGGGAAGAAAACCAACAACAACTGAGGAGAAAGTCGTCTGCCGTTGCAAGCCTAGCCAACGTGGTCTCGCTTTCTTACTCTTTTTCCTTCCTATGCAAAAGCTCTAGAAACTAAGAAAGGGCGGGAGACGGTGACCCAAACAGGAGAAGTCGACTACAGTTAAAAACGGGAAGGCATCGCGGAGGGAAGCGAAGGCACCAGCGCGCCGCCGCCGAGAAAAGTCCGCTGTTGAAGGGCAGCCGGCATTTGCGGCGAAGCGGCAAACAACAGACGCCGCTGGGTGGAAAGGGCGGTGGGTGTCCCACCCACCCATCGACCCCCAGGGAAAACCGGCTAGTGACCAAACTATGCTGCCGAAAGGTGCGTTAACGATAAGAACCCTGAAGCCTCCCCTCACCAGAGGAGTTTAATAAAGTAGTCAGGCACCTGTCAGCTATGATTTCAGCCACCGTTTTCTTGTTTTGCAGTAAGAGTCCCATTGGATGACTTTCTTCAGTAGTTTCTACTGATTAATAAAATCCGCAGATCCTGTTCCATTTTAGTAAAAAAACTGAAGTCTGCAGTCTTCTTATTAAGAACTGCTAGAACTGTTTCTTCCGCATGCATGTCCTGCCTGCTTGATAAGGATTACCCTTCCCATTAAACTGACTTGTCCCCAAAAGCGTGTCTTATAATAAATATACTCATCTTTATGATGCCACAGGACTGCCAAATGCCGAAAGCACTTCAGTGGTTCATCTGTACAATGTATAGAGACTCTTTGAGGACATTTTGTTATTTCAACACCTGGGTTACCCATGATTGGGAACCACTGACATAGGGCGAATAAGAAAGCATACCTATATGTATTTATGTCAATTTTCAGGTGTCTAGATGTCATTCCTGGAGCTATGGTACAGGCACACAAACACACACAAAAAAGGCACATTCTCTCTCTCTCTCCTGCCCCATCCACATATATGTATGTGTGTGTGTACAATTATATAGAATTACACGTGTAACTTATGATGTTTGAAAATTCACTGAGAAAGCTCATGGCTTGTTAATAGGAAACCGTGAAATTGGTAACCGTTTGTGATGTTTCTTAGAAGCATTTTGCACAACTGTACTTAAGGATGTTGTAAATGTTCTCCTTTGTCACAACATCACTCCATTTTAACCCACACCACCATCCTTCCACTACCATCTTCTGGATTCATTGAAAAACATCCTTTAGGGAAATGATTTGTTTTTTGACAGAAGACTGTTTACTTTTAAAGGTGTAATATAAAGGCGGGTTCATAGTCCTTTACCTTGTGCAGACTAATCAATATACTGTATGGTCACTATCACAGACATTCTTAGGATTTAATCATTCCAGTGAAAGAAAGAAAAGTTTGTATATAGTAATCTCATCCTGTGGTAATTGTCACATTAGTTTCTTTGTAAACACATTGTGAGAGATCTTGAAATTAGTCAAATATGTATATTGCGATAATTGTTCTTCACATCTATTTATTTATAAGAGTGCAAAATATTTGTGCAGTCAACAGTGAAGTGTGCATGTTTGTTTTTGTTGCATTTCCCTTTAAAAGACATTCAACAGAAAGTTTTGCCTTCATTCAGTCTCTTTTCTCTCTGTTTTGAAAATAGGACACAGTGAAAAGAAAATACAAACACCTTTTTTATTATTATTAATTTGTTGACAGGTCATTTGTATATTCTTTGCCTGTCATCCAACATTGTGCTAGTGGCCAGCAAGTCTAATAGGATTTTCTCCCCTTCTCTTTGCCTTCCTCCTACAGTCCATTGCACTGCTTAGAAAAACGCTCTGTAGAGTTTCACAGACCTCTGGAGATGGTTTTGAGTGCTTGGGTGAGGCAGGGTGGGAAATCCCACATCACTGGGTTATTTTTTCTTTAAAATGCATTAGTTTATTTTAGAGTGTGATCAGAAGGGTATTTGTTGCACTGTTTGATTTGCTGTGGGGATGAGCCGGTTTCCTCTTTTTTCTGGTGATCATATGATGTAATTGCTACAGCAAACCAACCTGTCCCCAGAGCGCCCCTATCTGTACCTTACTGAGTGTCTGTAAAGGGCTTCTACATTTTTGGTGCAGGAGGGATTTATCTAGTTTGGTCTGCTTCCAGCATGTGTGATCACTGGGAATGAACCAAAAATGAGCCTTCTGGATGTCAGGACTCCTTATGTTTCGAATTTGCAATATTGAAAGGTGGCTTAATAAGTGAGCCTCTTCACTTATTCAGGTTAATGAATAACTTGAACACTTTCTCTGCTCCTTGGCAGAAGGGCCAGAAAAGTGGATTTTTTTAACAGACTTTGGTATACTGCATCACTTATAATGTTTTTAAAATAAATTATTGGCCTTGTCTGAAAGGCCAGTCAAGATACTGCCCACAGCCAAATTTCTGGGTCTCTTTTAATGTTTACTCTGCTATATTTTATTTTGTATTAGTTTGATGTTAATAAGCCACATTTGGACACTCCAAAAAGCCAAAATGTAGTACAGTAGAACAGTTATAAATAAAATGATCCTGTCCATTACAGGATCTCTCCTGTAGTACTCTTTGCAATGTCTCATTGAATCCTAGATCTATCCTGAGATTTTGTGTAGCATTGCAAAAATACTGTATTCAGGATTTGTATTGGTGAGAGAACACACTGCTTCATTAATTCACCTGATAATATTGATATCTTAAGCCAGCATGTCAATGTTATTTTATTATTTCGTTTTCAATAGATTGTAAATTTAGAAGGCAGAGCTCTGAGTTTTTTAATCTTATAACAACTATTTACCAAAGGTATTATTATTTGTATATCAACAGCCATAGCAACAGCATTCCTTATCCCTTTAGTTGTACCTTAAATGATTCTAATGTTTATATCAATCCAACTCATTCCTCTTACTGGATTTAGCTATCCTGCACCACTGAACAGTTTAACTTTAAAGTGAGATAGTTGAGGATGAAGAGAAGAACACTTTCAATCTCTTAAAATTTATTACAGTGGCCAAAATCTTGTTGTGTAGTTATTAGCTGCAAATTGTCATGAGTTAATAAATCTTCTTAGGCATTATCTGTTGCATGCTGAGTCATGCATAGTAGTGTGCCACAGATAATGCTGACTAAGATTTCTTACAACAATTGGTGTCTTCTACACCATTAAATTACACCTTTTGAATAACTGTGCAAAAGGTGTTCAGCCAATATATTTCATTAACTGCTCAAGTGTAGAAGACAATCTAGAACTAACTGGAGAAGAATATTGCATTGCTGATATTTCCTTAAATTTAGCATGGAAAACTACAGTAATAGTAAAATAATAAATATATTACAAGTATGAGCCATGCATGAGGAACCACATCTTACTGATAGAACCTTCTTGTCAAAAGAAAAAAAATATAAATCAACAGAAATGAAGACAGGTTAAACGGAATAGAGCATCTGAGTTTTATAATCTGTGCTATACTGTATAAGCACAGAAACAAGTTTACATAAAATAAAATAAAAATTAAGATACTGTATATGCCACTGCAATAAAGCACACAGATAAAAGATGTGCCATCAAGACAACTTGTGTAAATGAACACAAAAATCATTCCCATTAGAGCTAAAACAAATTTATTTTGCTATAGTAATTCATAACAGATTTTAGTTACATGGGTAGTAAAGCTTATGGATTGATATAATCATTAGAATCATTTAAGGTACTTTAATTATAGATCTCAGTCTGTAGTTCAGAAACCTGGTGACAAAAATAATCTTTCCAGCTCATACAGAAGGCATATTAAAAGATGGTGCAAAATGTTTTCTACTGTTTTCCAGATCCACAAATATCTAGCCCATTCCCATAACAGACAAACTATACTATACGTTACGTATACATAGATCAGTGATCAGTGACAACCAGTATCCAATATCTACATTCACTATATAAAACAGCAAATGTTACATCATAGGTGTGGGCAGAGTCCTTTCTAGAATGAAGGTGCAGAACTGCCATGGCATGTAATTGTACATCACACAAATAACACAAGCCATCACAATGCACTTCTGTATTTTCATTGTTACTCAAGAATCACATTGCACAGAAGTTTTTATAGGAAGGGAGAAAATCCTCAGAACCAGGATTTTGGTGGTACGAATACAGAACAACATTATATTCAGTCTTTGCACAAAGAATGTCATGAATTCAGAACTTGGAGCAAGGAGTATTTTAAGAACATGGAGGCCAAGAAACCTCGGGCCCATGAACATGTGGG